ACATAAAAATTAAGAGTCAAAAGACTACAAATTAAAATATATGGACTATATAAACTTTATATAATATGGAATGCAAATATTATAGTCTATAAATTCGATTTTTAGATCAGGCAATGGCCGGCCAGGGCGAGCCTAGGCCTGACCCTAATTTTCATCAAGTGTAGTTATGTTGGGAGTGCACCCAATTCTAGGGGCTCATAGTGTAGCTTGAACATGGACGGGGATCTCGCTTTCAGGTCGTATAGCGTGGCCCAAAAGACATAATTTGGGTTTGAAACTTTGTAGAAGTTTGGGTATTTATATCATTCAACTTAGGCCTCTTAACCGGAGCCAATCTACTAAAATAAAAAGGGAAATGTTTCTATACATTCCCTACAGCGTAGAAGATCTATGCTTCCCCTACCATCCAGCCGTCTAGTTTTGATTAAGATAGCCACTCATCGTTTGATCTTAGATCTAATGTCTCAAACTATTTTATTTTTAGTTTTATTATACAAATTGTATGTATATGAAATTTGGTATGTATCATCTTCTCATTGGGGTGCACCTATAAAAAATATTAAAAATAATTTTTTAATAAAATATAATGATCAAAATACCCCTTGAAATTTTTAATGATATTTTGGTCATTTTATTTTATTAGAAATATTTTTCGCTAGTGTGAGTTTAATAGAGGATTGGACGTCCAAAATTTGGTGTCAAAATAGTTCATATAAAACAAATTAAAAATAAAATAGTGTAGAGATATGACATTGTGATTAGGACAATCTTAACCCTCCATTCAGAATGAACGGTTGGATATGGGGAAATATATAAGTTTTATGCTGTAGAAAAAGCATAGAAAGCTTGCCCAAATAAAAATACTCGTAAAGGATGTGAAAGTTAAAATAAAATATAATGTTGCAATCTTACACTATAGAAGTAAGGTGCACCTGCAAAATCTAGTAGAAAAGGTGTACCGAAGTTGAAAAACCTTCCAATTGATCATCCTAACCTCGATATGTATGGATATAAAGAAAAAAAGAATGTCAAGTTCTAAAAACATCGCATATGTAATAAGTTTTTTGGATTGTCTATTTTTCAGATTTTCACGTATTTATGGATATGCTCGATCCGCATTATTCTTAGACTTTAACATTTCATAATTAGAGTTGAACGTAGATTTTCGAGCCATCATAGTGGTTTTGAACATTGGAACTATAGTTTTTCAATAAAATTTAGAAATACAATGCGGGCACCTTATACAAACCTCACCTTTTAAAGTTGCGAGAATATTTTCGTAACAATTAGCTGTCAATTAGTGTGAAAAGATGCACCGGGACTAATTGAGGTGAAAATATTCCCACATCTAGCTGTACAAGGGCATACTTTCATACCATTGACTTATGAGGGATATTTTCATACCAAGTAGCTGCCAATTAGTGTAAAAAGATACAATGGGACCAATTGCGGTGAAAATATTCCCATATCTAATTATATGAATGAATTCTTCATAGAAAAATACTTTCGAAAAATATTTTTAAGCGAACCAAACGTGCTCTAAATGTCTAAGAGCCCAAATCTAATTTATTTTTAAAATACTCAATTTTAGTTATTCCAAAGTGTATCCTTATATGTCAATAAAAAACGTCCTCTTCACAAGTCTTTTGCCCGATGGGGTAAATGTATAGTATAAAAAAAAATTAAAAAAAAGAAATATGCAATTCTGATTTTCCCCAATTAATTGTACGTATAAAAATGAATGGTTACGTGTGTTTTTTTGATAAGCTTAACTAGGGAGGACTGGTCTCTAATAAATTGCAAGTAAATGAAAAAACTTTGTGAACCATGAAGACCTTGTATTTTTAACTAGAACACTCTTTATATAGACTAAAATGGACTAGGCTAAAGTTTATAAGATGAAGTTCTATAATAAGGTATTAGAAGATCAGACGTAAGACTAAAGTAAAATTTGAAGAGAGAGAGAGAGAGGGGCATGGTCCAGTAAACTATGAGGAAAAAAGAGAGCTTTCATATTTGGGAATATTTCTGAGAAATTCTTTTAAATTGCGACATAATATAGGTTGAAAGAGACCATTTATCTTTTATACATGAAGGTCATAATAATTCATACTCATTAGATTTTAAATTAGACAGCTTCTCGTGAGTCAAGAAGTCCGAGAACTTTTTTTTGGAACTTTGTGTCTATTCAATGACACTCTTACAACTACCAATTTTGAAATTTAAGGGACAAGAATGATTGCGACTTTCTTGTACAAAAAATAAAAGAAAATTGTTTCATGCACGTTGGACAGCATTTTTACATATGCGGTCCAGAAAGTGTAAATCATCCATCTTAAAGATGGATGCAAGTAGGTGTTTCATCGAAAAACAATGGAAACTAACAGTCCAAATGTTTTTTTTTACTAGAATTATTATTTTTAGGTTTTAAATTTTATTTATTTATTTATATCCATGATCTCCATGTTAGAGACTGCGTGTCCTTAAAAATTAAATCTTAAAATCCATCTCAAAAACTACATATGCGGGCTTGGCCGCATAGAAACCTGGTCCAAAGATAAATAGTCTCTTTGTAGACAATCCCTATAAGTTATATTTTGTCTTTCAGAAACATGAGGTTTTTGAAAATAATTTTAAATTATGCATTTTCAATCGTTTTTTTGAAAGGAAAATAGTTTGATAGGGCTGCAGTCCAATCAAAATAAGTGAAGCCTGACCTCATAACTCATTGAAAAATACAATTCAAGCATTGAAAAACCTTTACATCGATCATCTGGGCTTAAATACTATGGTTGGTGAAAAAAAAAAAGAATTTCAAGCATTAAAAATAATGTTAATTGTAATAAATTATCTAGATCATCCATTTCACCTTAAAAATAACTATATAAAGATTCGTAAGATCTGTATCATTTTTTGAGTTTCAATTTTATTGTCTGTGTTGGAAATTGATTTTAAAACCATCATGAATATTTCTGTTGCCAAAAGTGCTTTCTGAACGAGGATTTAAAGTGAGACTTTATTTTATTTTCATAAAGCCTAGGTTTTTATCCCTTTCCTTTGTTCATGTCTTTAGGGAGGTAAATGGCATGATGGATTCCCTTGCTAAACATGGTTATTCTCTTGCTAATTAAGTGGTTTATGATGTTTTTCTTTCCTAATTTGTTGCACTACTTTTATAATTGAATAAAATTTATAGAATTTTCATAAAAAAAATAAAGCCTAAGCTTTATAGAAACTTCAGCCTTTTCTCAAAATATAAGTCTCGTTTAGAAAAATCATCTTAAAAGTAGAGTATTGCTAACTATAATCGTGCCAAAGCTTATTAGGAAAAATGGAACAAATAAAAAATAGGAAAAAGTTTATAGGGGAATTATAAGAAATATACTTTAGTTTTAGCCTAATTAAAACAAAACCTCAAACTTTTATGAAGCTCGTCCACACTATTTTTTCTCAATTTTGGTTTTTTTTTATTATATAAAAATAGCTTTCACGGAAGTCGTATTATCGTGATATCTATGCATTATGGTACCTAAAGTACCGTGATGGCTAAAACATATATTTTAACAGGGTATTGGAAGGTAATGTCTTGATGATTCATAAAACATCTTATACGGCACTTAAAATGCCACGAGGAGCCATGACCAGAAGGCTAAAGGGCGAATGGGATTGATAGAGGCACTTCCCATAGCATCCCCCACCAATGTTAAAAAAAAGAAAATGATGAAGAATAGCAATGCCCCTATAATATTTTCATTTATCTTAACTTTCATGTCTATCTTACATATTAGAAAGATATTATCTTTTTATTTTTTTTTGACAAATAATTAAAAAGATATTCTTCCTATATTTTATTTCTCATTGCACAACTCTTTTCTTCCTTTCTTATTGGATTATATGGGGATATATCTTTATATTATTTTTTATTTATCTTCTCTTTATCTTTTTTAATTTTAAAAAATATCTTCTTAAATCTTTTTTTCTCAAGATTTTAGGGGATTTTAAAAAATAGAAACTCATTCTCTTACATGTAACTCTATTCCTCACACTCTTACATATCTCTCCATATCGCTTAGATATTATTTTTAAGAATCACCTCGTATCCTATTTAAAAGGCACCAAAAATTTTAGGCGTTTTTTTCTAAAAAAATCCTTTTTACTCTATCTAATCGTAACTCTCTCTCATACATCCTTACATATCCCCCCCTATCTCTTAGGCATTGTTTTTAAAATCTCTTCCTATCTTATTTAAAAGGCACAAAAGAATTTAGGGGTTTGAAAATAATGAAAGTCCTTCTCTTTCCTCCTACATAACTCTGTATTTTTATCTCCATTACGCAATAAAGGAAATAAATATATAGGACATCCCAGCAGTTCTCTCTCTAGGTGTAGAGATAAAAGATGTTGAAGAAATGTTGTGATTTTAAATATAACGATACAAATTGAGAGAAAAAGGATGGGTTATCCCTATGATGGATTCGGTTGCAATTAAGGAAAAAAAAGGTACGGATGAGTTTCAAGAAAGTTTTTTACGTAAAAATTAGAGTATATTTCTCATAATTTCATAAATTTTATATAGGATTATCCCTAATAGTATTGAAATAAGTGGTTCAAAAATATTAAAAAGGGTGTTCTCATATTTGAAGACCTTCAAATTGATCATTTCAACCTCGATATTTGTGGATACCAAGCAAAAAGAAAATGTCAAGTCTTCCAAATAATGCATCTTATATCAAGTTATCTAGACTGTTTTTTTTTAATTTTTTTAAATTCTCAAGTATTTATAGAGATATTGCTTGAGTCATACTATTTTAAAAATTTTAAATTTTATAAATAGGGATAAAACTAGACCTTCATGTACTACTAAAGTTTTTGACGCCAGGATTACCAAAAGCTTGTTATGCTAAACGAAAAAACGAAAAAGAAAAAAAAAAAAACTAAAGGGTCTAAAAGAACATTTCCGCAATATCAATTTTCAAGGAAAACCAGCGAAAGTTAATAATAATTTATTTCCTTTGTTCCCCTAAATGCTGTTGTGTTGGCTCGCGGAGTCGCAGTACAAACGCTCACTCACTCTATTGAGAGATGAAGACTTACGCAAAGGCGCCTCGATTCCATGGCTTTCCCCTTTTCTGCTTCCTCCTATTTGGCGCCATAACTTTGGGTAAGAAACATGAAAATTATTGAATTATTTATTTCCTGGATATTGTATTCATATATTATTTGAATTCTGTTTGAGCGAAGGAAGGATATAATACATGTGTAATTTCCTCATCTGATTATGACGATTTTAGGGTTTTTTTAGCTCTTTTAAGGGTGATTCATTTCTGATAAAAAATAGGAATGGATGCCATCTTGTGGTCATATTAGCGCTTCTGTTGGATTCATATCGTGCGATGACTGATTTATGGGCGTGAATTGATATTTGGATTATTTCTGGAATATTTGAAGAAGCTTGTGTTGGTTATGAATAAGCCGCATGTCTTGGAAGAATGATGTGAAAAAGCATGTTAAACCTTTGTGAATCACGTTAAACAACTAAGAATACTTGAAAGATGGATTTTCATTGCCTGCCTTGATTATCTTGATGCTTCATCGAAGAATTTAGGGGAGACTTATAAAGAATCTCTCTCGCTCTGTCCTATTAGATTGTTTTGGTTGGATGATATATCGGTCCTCAAGGATGATGAAATGGCTGTTACCAAAGACCAAGTTATTTTTTCGACTGGTGGTTATTATCAAATTTAGGAGCACCGAGAAAGCATTTTTATCGGAAACCATGGTGAATTGCAATATTTCATAGTTGTTTATTATAGAAATAGCTCAACTAATTCACAGCTAGGTGTTTTTGCTTTTCATTGCAATAGCGCCGAGTCTTATTGAAGAGAAGGTTGCGGTTTGTGGTGTAAAAATCTACTGCTAAGGCTGAGTTTTGTGGAATGGTTGATACATTTAGTAACCTTATATGGATTTTTGACAAATGGTCAAATTTGGAGTTCTTTTCGTAAAAAGGATAGAATTTGAATTTTTCAAATGTTTGGATAATTCCCATCTTTAGTAAGAATTTTTCAAAGAATGTTTGTTCATGAATTATAAATATAAAAAAAAAATTGTTTATTGAGGACCTACATGTATTGAATCTCTTGATACTGACTTCTATTTCATAGAAAAGATGGGAATGCACTTGCATGTACTCTATATTGGAATTTCGAATGTGAGTACTGAATCCCAATAAGTATATGGGAAGTGCTCTTCTATATTCTTACTATTATGCTGATAATGATTGATGAACACCCACACCCATTGGTTTAAAGTTCTAAATGTCCACAACACACAATCCGAGCTATTTTGTGTTGGATACATTGTCCTTAATGCGCATGTCATAAATGGTTGCATGATCAACTTATCAAAAGTTCTCTTAGAGAAAAAACTAATTTCCAAATAGTGGCATCTGGTAATGAAATTTGTAGTGCCTTTTATCCTATTGCAGGAGAACCAAATCGAGTGTGCATTTCTCAAGGTGGTCGCTTCCCCCCTTTCTCATTGGAAGGAAAACCTCCTCAAAAGGCAACAAAGGGACCAAAAGATTTGGCTCTTTGCCGGGTGTTTAGGGCAAAAACTTGCTGTGATATAGTTCAAACTTATCCTGCCTTGTTGTCTATTAGGAGGTTGGCATCTAGCGGGGAAGCCAACCCAGAATGCTTACACTTATGGGAAATGCTTGAATGCTCTCTATGTGATCCACGAGTTGGTGTGCAACGTGGGCCCCCAGTCATATGCAAATCCTTTTGTGATTCAGTGTTTCAAGCGTGCTCAAATGCATATTTTGCTATTGATGGAAGCACCCAGGTAACTTCTTCTATAATTAACATGTTACAAATAAATGAGAAACTTTGTAATCAAACCAGTTTCTAAAATTTTTACTGGAGAGATATTTGTCAAAAGTAAAAAATGTAACTGAAACCCATGGATTTTAAACGAGTCACAAATATTTCACATTTCTGAGTGACAAATAATGCTATACTTTAATATATGGTCACCTTTCCTTAAAAGAAAAAATGGCAAATAGTGCCTGCTTGTTAACCATAATAAACAAATCACCAAAATTTTCAGTCTCAACATCATTCAAAGAAAGGTCTTCTCTGTCCTCTCTGCAGTCTTCAGAGAGTTTCATTTGGGTATCTTTATATCGATGGCATTTTTGGTGAGTTTATGAAGGCTTTTAATACTAATGACCCATTCGTCCATATTTCAAGAATTTGTGGTATTCTAGCAATATTTTGTTTGAAATCAATGGAAGGTAGGTGTGCATCTGTGAGGGTTGCCTAAGTAAGAGGGAAAATGCTTACTTTGTTATTCACACAAGTTCTAAGTGTGTTCATCTGGTTATTATTTTCTCTGTGTTCAGGTTCTCTCACCATGTGGTTCAAAGGACATTGTATGTGGTGCTGCTACTGGTTGGGCCAAAAATGGTTCAGAGTTTTGCCAACTTGCTGGTTTCTCTGTCCACTCACTTGAGGACGGGTCTCATGGTATTGAAGATTCATATTGTTTCGGTGAGAAAATGGGTATTGACTCAGTTCAGGATTCATGGAAGAAGGGATATGAATCAACCTCAACGAGGAAAGAAGAGGAGATGGGGTTTGTGCAAGATTTCCATCAATGGATACAGCAAATGCCCTTTAGAGAAAGTGTGTCTTGGGCAGTAGGAGGGTTGGTCCTCACAGCTGGCCTCATGTTCATGAGGTTTGTACATATCACATGTTTGCATTGTTGCCCTTTGTAGCTCTGCAAAGTAAATTCTTTTGTTTATTATACACAGTATTTTTTTTGCTTTGAGTTGTTTTTGAGGAGTTTTGAACGCCTATCGTCTTGGTCAGCTCTCTCTCTCTCTCTCTC